AGTGCATTACACAACTAATTCTTTTAAAAGATATATCTATGGTGTACCTTGCCTGTTGCCCAGTAACAGCTGGGACAGGCTCAAACCACAACCCTGAATTGGATAAATGGAAGGAAATAGATTTATGGACAAAAATTATGTCTACATTGGACATTTGCAATTTTAAATGAAGAAACCCCAAAACTATTTTAATGACTGTCCTCCAGTCTCAGTCCATCCATCAGAACAATTTAGAGAACCAAAAGTAATACACAGGATGTTCACTCATCTGGAATTCCCTGACTGTTTATTGTTCACCAGAAAAAAACAGTACAGTAGCGCAGACCAGTATTTCTTGATTGACATTCCAGGTTAGGGTTAGTAATTTAACTCAAATAGTTATCCCAGCATTGCATATGTATAGACAAGCGGTGGCTGGGTTTCACATTTGCACTGAATAGTTACAGTTAGGGGTGAGGAATACTAATGCCCATTAGTATTAACAAGTATAACTAATTACAATATTTTCTTATTGTAGGTTGCTTTATCTAAAAAAATATTTTTAGACTGAGTGCAATACAAAAGTGCAAGGTGCCACCAACACAGGTATTGTAGGGAAAATCTACTTATTGTTATATTTCACATAGTCCCTAATACGTTAAATATAGCAGCTCCATAGACATTCATCTAACAAGTGAAAGATCCCTTGCTTGATTGGCAGAAGAAACCCAAATCTCTCAGATCCTTGTCACTAATACGTTTGCTGCAATATGTAGCAATAAATTTTACACTTTCTCTGATGCTTTTCCAGTGCAACTACAATGTGTTTTTTGGGGGGGAATTTAATTGCAATTAACTATGTTATCTGGTAATAAAATAGAACCTAAACGATACACAAGTCCTACAGACTTCTAGCTTAAACAGTAAAAGAGGCTCAGACAAAACAGTCCACACAGTAATTTAATAAATTCAAGCACAGACTAGAAAAAAGAGAGCAAAGGCATTTTGTATCGAATGAAAAAAGCTCAACTAGTAACAGGAAGTTTCTGCTGTAAGCTCGAATAATTACATGTTTACAGTAAAGTTATAGCCAGTCAAGCTAAATGCTCTACACATCATTACTGTTTAACAACATTTCTGTGCCAGATCTTGTTAGCCTTCTAACATGTAGCAGTCAGATAAGATGAGTAACATTCAGATTTGACTCTTGACATGACAGCGACTACAACCAAAGAGCATTTCCTTTTTTTTCCTTTTTAATGTTTTATCTAGATGAAGACTGAAGATAGTACAAGGAGGTGACACCAGATTTTATTCATTCAAGAGCAGAAAGCGCAAAAGAGCACTCAAGACAGCAAAGTGAATGAATCATCATTTTGATCAGAAAGCATAGCTGAATTTAGCAAACAGGAATGTGAAAAAACATATTTATAACCACCTTCGAAATGTACAGTGTCTGTGTAAAAAAACAAACAAAAAACAGCCATAACAGTAAATTATTTTCAATACAGTCTCTCCTGTATGAAATCCAGTCAGCTCAACATACCATACTGTAAAATGTCTTTTTGTATTCAGATCAGTGCATTTATTACAAGGCTTTCTTTCAATCTGCCACATAGCCAACATGCTTCTATATAATGTATTTAATTTAAACTTTTCTTTTCCTAAAACAATCTGCCGATATATCAGTACATCCCTAATCAAGACCTTATTAAAATAAGATAGGTAGGTAGATCTCAGGCAGGTCAACACTAAGCATGAGTGCTTTATCAATTTTCAAAGTAAAGCAGTCATTTACAGTAGTTAAAAAAATGTGGTCACATTTCTTTTTTTCCCCCTCCCATTTCATGAAATGAGAGCAAAAAGCGTAAACAATGAGTTACAGAAATACGTTGCTGGCAACATGTCATTTACCTCAAAAGGAAATAGATGAATTCAGCAATAGTACAGGATGGATCTGAGTAATATAAGAACAGTTTCATTCATAGTCTTCAAATTCATTCTGACAGGCACTACTAGTACATCCACAAAGCGAGTCTATATCAGTCTTTCTTGTTGCCAAATTACTCCAAAGTACTAAAAATCTCATATCAAACTAACCTAACCTAACAAAAGTTACTGGCAGTAGCTAAACCAAGAGATTGGGTTTAGGCACTCAATTTAAAATTATTACTGTTTAACATATGCCTCCTGATAGTTCGGTTTAGTAAGAAAGTTTAAAATGCCTGTTTAGGATAAGCTGGCATCCATCCTGATTGGATGATTATAGGTTAGAATCTTGGTGACATAAATCTGTGCTAATAACTTATTGTGTTGTGTTTACATTCCTGTAGATTAATGTGATGTGGGACTGATGTTATAACTATGTAATAACACAAATGAATTACAAGCAACAAACAAGTTTTTAAAGCTTAAAAACAGCAACAAATATCAAAGAATAAACACTTTTTAACTCCAATAGTTATTTTTTCTGGTTAACTCCACTGGTCAATAGTGTGTTCCAAATGTTTGAAATAAAGTTTGGTTCTGGAAATTTGTGATCATTTCAGCAGTACTGTTGATAAATGATCCTTGTAATTAAAAAGGATCCTTAAATGTTCCAAGACACTCAAAAACACTTCCAACAGAGGAGACACATTTCAGTTCTGCGTATGTAACTGAACGCAGCAGGACAAAAGGAGGGCAGAAGTATAGCGTAAAGGCACTGTGTTATTTTTACAAGCCAACAGACGTAAATCCAAGAGAAATCAAGACCACATCGCTGACCACTTGTTTTTCCCAAAGGTTTTAACAGAAAATCCAGGCTGGAGTGACTGACCTCCAAACACCAATAAATCTGTTTTACTGAAATCTATCAGTAGGAAGCCAGCGAGCATCCAGAGAAGTCCGAGCTAAGGGACAGAGACAGTGCAAAAGTCAGTCAGTAGAGAGGGCATTGAGGGCAATTCTGTTAGTTTGTTCAGTGCCCACAGAGTCGAAAATACAGAAATAAATACAACACACACACACCCGCGCACACACAAACAGCTCTTACTTCACTCAGAAGCTGAACTACAAGAACAAATTCAGGAACACAGGTAGAAAATGATGCTGTAGGTAAACAAACAACGGTATTTAAAGGAACAGTTCTTCTTTTTCTTTTTTTTTTGGCAAAGATTTTGATCAGAGCTGTGATTTCCCAAAGCGTTTGTGGCTGCCTCCTTGTGGCCTTCAAAGGTATTTCAATTGGGTCTTGAAAGGGCTTGCCTGCCCTAAATCAAACGCCCCCAAACAGTATTTATGATCATATTTTATGTTTATATATTTACATTTTAAAACATAACCAGAACTCATATATATACTCATAAAGTCAAGCTGATGAATTAAGTTACTGGCTTATTCTACCTGTTTTGTGTATTTTCTAACTCATCGTTGTTGGGAAAATGTGTTGATGAGAGCTGTGATTATTGTTTTTGGCTGGTCGCACAAAATTTTAAGATTTCAAATCGTTTGGCAACATTTTTAAGTTTGGGAATGAATGGATTAGAAGATCAGCACTACACTCTGTTAGTCTAGGAACCCTTTCATTTATCACCTGATGGAACAATAGCCAACAGTTTGGACCATCCAGTATAGCCATTAATTACAAATGAAGCTAATAAATACAATGAAAACAAAAACCATGATCATTATCTCATTAGACTACAGCTAGTAGTTTCTAGATTGTATTTAATAGGATACTTTTATGTATATGCAACCAGTGTCTCCTCAGAGTAATAGATCAATTCTAACTACACATGGTAACCGGAAAGCTTGTGGTACCTGAAATATCATCCCTTGTCTCCAAATTTTGCATATTCATATGCAGTGTTCCTTTATCAGATATGTTTAGGTGTAAATCCTTGTTGCCTGAAAATCTCACAGCAATGACCAGATATCTTGTAGTAGGCATAGTTGAGTATCCATACTAATCTGAGCCAGGCTTAAGTCCTCCTGGCTGCATCTAGCATTCAGAAAGTCTTATTGATCTTATCTCTAAAAAAAAACTGAATATATGAACATGTTTAATAAGAAACTATTCTAAACTAATTCTTGATGGACAATACTATTTTAAGCGGGTCTGACACAACCTTTTTAGATAGATTGTTGTGAAATTTGTTGATGTTTTTCACAGGTGGAAGCTTTTTCTTACTGTTATTTAAAATAAGGTGTATATATTCATAGCCCAAAGAAGGAAAAATCAGTGTGTTGAAATAACACACTGTACATGAATTCAAGCCATAACTAACCAATTAAAGATGAATATACTGTCTCACATTTCGATACCATTTAAAAAACGGAGCCTCTGATATATTTGCTTGAAAAACCCATTCACAAGTGCTATATTTTTGTGTGTCCTGCACCCTTTGGATGAATGTGCCATCGTCACAATTAAGGCGACACATCTGCAGGATGCAGTTAAGCACAGAAATAATGAGGGGATGTCAAAATGGGAAGAAAGCTCAGCTGCAGACTCAAAACACATGGCAATATAAATGGCAAAAAAGTAACCAAATTGTTGCCCCTTTATTTACACCATCAGCATTAGTTGTGTGCAGGTTGGCTGTTGATATTCCAGAGTAGCCCAGAAGCACTACGGCTCTGATCTGCCACCTAGTTTGCATACATTTTAGCCTCCATGTATGTATAAAGTACACAGGCAGATTAGTATGTATGTGAACAGTCATGCTTGATTTACAGTCTACACACTGAAAAAAGAAAAATGATATAAGAGGCTTAAGTGAAAGGTAACATAAAGGAATGTTAACAGCCCAACAGCATTCACTCATCCTCACAATAACACAAAGTCACTTAAAAGGAAAAAAAAAGATCTGTGCTTGGGTCCGCTTGTTGGTTTTGATCCTCGACTAGCCAGAAGGTCAGGAAGTCATGGTCCAAGAAAATGTTTGGTTTGTTCCTTTTAGGTTTATCCTATACACATAAAAAAATTTACACAGATGAAGGAGACCTCACGGTTGGATGGAAGGATGGCCTTCTTGTTTAACAAGCACAGCTATTAGTAGATGACCTCATAGACAGTTGCCTTCTTATCTCCTGATCCCGTCACAATGTACTTATCATCAATGGAGATGTCACAGCTCAGCACAGAGGATGATTCTTTTGACTGTCGGGGGAATAAAAGATGCAAGAAAAAGTATAAAAAGGGTGAGAAAGATGAAGGCTACGCAGACACACGACTTTCTTGTTATTGTAAAGACACAGAAGGTTGTTGAATTCACAATAGATGCAAAAGTTCAGTCATACAGACTGTTGTATTTTCATTAGGAAAGTAATTTCATCCAAGGAATACCCAAGAATGACTTGTTAAGAGTTCTTATTTTTCTTTATTAAAAATAAGAAATAAAACCCCTACTTGCGTGTTTTTTGTTTTTAATCGAGTAATTCATTCAGTCCAGTTTATTTATTCCCATAATTGATTCTCACCTGCTTCACTTTCCCACCTGCTGCATCACCTGTTCTTCCCTGTTCCTCTCATATGTTTTCATTCATCTAATCAGCCCCATCAGCAGGCTACTCCCAGTCTCACATTACCTAGCGCTTTAGCTCTTTGGTGTTCTGCTGCTCAATTCCGTTTTGCACCAGATTAGTCCCAATGTATGTCTTTTTTTAGAAATAACGGTAAGTGCCCAGGATTCTGCATCAGCTGCTCCCTGTGCTTGTTTTTTTATAACCTTGAATCTCCTTGTGTGACTAAAGCTCATCTTTTGCTTTTTACCATCTGTCTTTTGTGTCATACTCTTGGGTCCTCTATATAGAACCCTGATAGCTAAACTTTACAATCAGTGAGCAAAAGCAGTGTTTGATATCTCTACCTGGGTTATTTCTCTAAAATCCATAACTCTTGGCTATTACTCTGTGCTGCACTTGGCCTCTCAGTTGCCTTTCATCCATGGTTGTGTTCTTGCCCACTTACCTGGAATATGCTGGCTCCATATGGGGTTCTCCATGCATTTAGCAGATTGTCTTTTCCTGTACTTACAAACCACTTCCCTGCAGAGGATCGACAACTGCATTAGGCTACGGCAACGAAAAACGCTTTAAATCTTTAAAAGCCAAAGTAAATTATTTAAGTGAAGGTTAATTTGCTCGCTCAGGTGCTAAACCATTATCTCATCGTTAACATCTCAAGACCTGGCACATATATTCATTTCATGTTGCAAAATACTGGTGACAACAGAATCATCTCAATAAAGTTGTTTATGCTTACCACAGTGCGCAAATCTGAGTGACAGCACACAGCTTTCATGCAGGTGGAGCTGGTATTTGTCAGGTTTGGTGACATGCAACACCTCCACATTACTGTTCTCCATCCCAACTGCCAGCCACTCTCCCGTTGGACAGTATCCCAGTGAGAAGATCTGCAACCAACACCAACATACCCATTTTAATGACAGCTATGTCTCCCTATATTCTGTGTAAATAATACTCAGTATATCTCTTATATTAGGGTAAGGTATGCATCTGTCTATTGGAGGTGGGCACAGATAGATGTTCCAAAAATATGTCATAGTCCTATACCTCAACCTTTTACATTACAAAGAGGTAGATGAATAGTTAAGTCCTCATTGTTTTTTAAAAATCCCTTTTTTACACCATGGAAGAGCAAAATGCATGCACAGGATACAACTGATAGCTGTAAAAACTGGTAAACCATTACTTCTTTTCTCTGTCAAATGGTTCCAGATTTGCTCAAGCTGTAGCAGGGGGGAGTGGGGCTAGACCTGACATTACTGGAAATCCTAAGAACTCTATCAGCCATGACTGTCCTCTCTGAGCTCTCTTTACTGCACACTCACCTCCTCATGTGCACACTGAAATGGCTCTATTCAGGAAAATTGCAGTAATGGTCTATTATTGCTGCTTTTCTACTCACAAGGGGGAAAAAAACTAAATTCTACCTGCACATATTATTAGTGTTAAAAGTATTTGAGGACAGGGCTCAGCCGGGCTTTTAGTGTGGGTTAAATGTTCTGAACTGAGCTTGTAAATGACTGCAATAAATCAAAACCCGAGACAGTAATCACACAAACTGCAAATGGCAGTGACTTGTCCTGGGGTGCACAATTTTCATCTGTGACATTTTACCACCAAATAATAATAGACGTCCGTGCAAAACCCACATTTCTGAACCCTGAACAAACACCTGAAAGCTGCCGGAGGAGTGGAACAAATTCCACACTGCTTCATTATGATCGCTCCCAATAGTCACGTGGTGCAGTACGTGTATAAATGTGTACCTGAGAGGTGAAGTCGTGCTGTTGCAGCTGGCGTCCCTCTCTCAGGTCCCAGGACCGGACAGTGTTATCCAGACCTCCGGTCCAAAGCTTGGTCCCATCATTAGAAATGTCTATGCAGCTGGCTCCATCTGTGTGGCCCTGGAACTGCCTGCAGAGAAACAGACAAACCCATAACTAACAATACTGTTTTTCTTTCAAGTTGGCTTGACATCAACCAGATCAGCATCTTGACTAAACTAATGGGTAGCCAACATGTGATGCTGTTTTGGTTTAATAGCAGGTTCTTTTTTTTTTTTTTCTTTCAGCATAATTCAATAACCTTAAATTACATTCCCCAGTTCTTTACCTAACCAGAGTCTGGTTGTTAAGATCCCAGACGGCAATGTTTCCATCAGAGCAGCAGGAAAAGCAGACTTTGGAATCCGGGCTGATGGCCAGAGCATAACATGCAGGTGCAGACGAAGTTAATTCCGCTTTGATCCGAGGAGTCGGTGTAGCCAAATCCCAGATTGATAAAGTACTCGCTTCTCCCCCAACGATAAGAGTTCGTCCATCAGGAAGTAGCCGACAGGATCGAATGTAGTTATCCCTGTTCTGATGTGCCAAAAGAGAACTGTCATTGAAATGTATACATGCAAGCAACTAGTGGCTGTGGTATTCTAAAAGTATGTTACATGAGGACCAATGTGTTGCACTCACAAGGCAGTCCAGCTGGGAAACAGGGGTCTTGTTGCCCGGGTGACTGATATCCCACACCTTGACACAGCCCTTGCCGCCGGTATAAACGTGACGTGTAGGGTTACTGATGGTAACGGCACACACCACCTCCCCGTGGGTGAGAGTATTGATCTGTCTAGCATGGCGCGGGATGCCAGGGCCGATCAGTGCATCCGGAGGAAAAGGCACAGGCTGCATTTGTCCGTCAGCGCTCACATGAAAGGAATAAGCTCTGAAGCAAAATAAAAGGGTCGTGTGAGGTGATAAAGGGTGATGAGAGAAAAGTAAGAAAACATAAGCAGAAGGGAATATATGTGTGTTTGTGTGAACTTTCTCAGTATGATTATGCCATTTAAGAAAGACTAAAAAAGACTTACGGTTTTCCACCAGGAATGCCCGACAGGTTAGGAGGAAGTCCAGGAACACGTATGTGGTGGTGAGGATCAAATCCTACCTAAAGAACACAAGAGTGAGACGTTTTTAAAATATACAAAAATGCTTAAACAAATAGAAGACTCGAATGAAGTCAGGTGTGCAGGGCAGGAAGGCATTTATAGTGACGTGACAGGAAAGGAAGTGTGTTTTTACATCCAGCGACCTCATTTATAAAATTAACAAACGATCAGTTTTAATCCCAGCTATGACTCAAGCAGAAACCAAGCGCAAGTAGGTGTTTTTAAAAAACACTCTGATGTGGAAATTATTTTCTCTCTCAGAAAAGTCTAGACTTAACCTAAGTGATTTTCCCACTGTTTATGTTGGGTCATTACAGATACCCAGTAGGAATTAATTGCCAGACATCAAGGTGTTTTGAATTAACAGGAGGATTAAAATTAATTAAGAGAAGGACTTTTTTTATAAATAGCATGTCAAATTAGAAACAAGTGCCCTCGCCTGTTCTTGCATTATTGGAAAATCCTGGTAAGTGTGCTCTAGAGGCAGGAGATTTTTCAATGGCTGCGATTACTTTTTTTTTGTGAATCATGATATGTGGTTATAATAACGTCAGAAACAGTTCAGTCTTTATGCTCTACCTTGTCCACACTCCTTAGCTGCAGGTTTTGCTTTGCTCATCAACTCATTAGTTGAGTAAATACCACATGTTGCCCTGCTTCAACCTCCTCAACCATCGCCATGAACAGTTTTCATTTCTTTTTTTGCACAATATTTTTAAGCATTTTCCTACTAATTGAACATAAGCATACCATTGGGATTAATCTTAAAACTAATTAAAAGTTGAAATACTAAATGCATTTTTTTTGAATGAAGTTGTACTCCTAAATTACCTTGAAGTAAATTTCCAATCAAAATTTTTGGTACAAGATACATGCCAGCATTTCAAAGCAGATTTAAGCAACAGTCAACTGAAAAATAATAATAAAATCCTGGTGAGACCACCATTTTTAGCTTTTATTCTAATTCAGTTTAGTTTTTAATCTCTCAAAAACGCTTGCATAGTTTCAGTGGGGATGGTAGTTAACGGTACTGTGTTTACCTGCTACCTGGTGAAAGATTGTCATGACACAGAGAATATTTGTTCATACATGGTTACCATTTTAGGACAGTTTCTCATTTCACACCTGACATAAACGGTTGAAAATACAGTCGTAAAAACGCACCTAAATAGAATAACTTGCAAAAAATTGACTAATTATTAGAATCCCCAAACATCACAATATTAGTTGTTTTCCACTAAATCATTTTTGTCTTTAAAGTACCGTACATTTTTAACATTGACAGAATAGTTAGCTAATGTTTACGTCTGCTGTCTGCACGCATCTGTGAGTGTTCAGGTACCACTTGTGTGCGTCCGTAGGCTGCCACAGCGGCCGCGGCCACTGCACTCATCTGTGGGGAAATGTTATGCAAGCCAGTGTAGGCTGCTCCTGTTCCACTCAGCTCTCCATTCATACCAGGGTGAGGAACCATTCCGAATGGGCCAGGGTACGAGCAGGGCACTGCCAGGGGTGTGCGAAGACCAGGAGCTACAAAACAAGACAGCCAGATTGGGACGCAAACATCTATCTTTTTCAACTGTGGTGTACAAAGGTTATTTTTTTTGCTTTAAAGCAAAGGTTTAGTCTTAAATACAGAGATTTTTGTTAAGCTAGTCTATGGTAATAGGCTTTTTTTTAAGTTTTCAAAAACATATACTTATGTATTTGCACTGAGTCATATCCACCATCTGACAGATGCAGGCAGAGATGTTTTATGTTATGCTTGCAACACTTACTCAGTGCCTCAACTCCTGATGATTTACTGGGTGCAGACCTCAGGCCTGTGGTGGAGGCACTGCTGGGTGTGGGGGCTTCAGAGCGGGATGTGGGAGTGCTGGACTTGGACACGGGAGTTGTTGACTTCTCATTCTACCAGAAAAATTAAAAAAGAAAGATTTCTACATACAGAAGGGTTTCAGAGGTGAAAGACATGGAAATAATGCTTTTTTTTCCAAATATAATAACAGTGCAGGAGCATTCATGCGTCAGTTTATTCTAAGACTCATTAAATTGATATTCTATAAAAATGTCAAATAGTGTCCTTTATCTCTTGGATTTTATCTTACATCTTTCATGTGGTTTACAGTATGCCAGATTTACTATTTGATCATTTTTACAGAAGCAAATAAGCATTGTTTAACCCTTTATTTAGAGGGTTTCTTGAAAGAAGTTAAATGAAAAGGAGGCTACACAAATGACTCACCATATTAATATCTTTAGACTTGGAGGAAGGTGTGCTGCTTGAAGAAGCAATTGAGGAAGGGCTCAGTGGTGGGTCTTTCTTCAACAGGCGACTTTTGTCCAACCCATTCTCCCGAGGAGAGTGTGCAGGACTTCCTCGGGGAGACACTGGATCCTGTAAGCATTAAACCGAAACAATTCACATTTTCTCAACAGGTAACACACAGGATGGTAGACTGGTAGTGTGCAGGTAATATTTTGTACCTCGTTGGAGACGTCGACAACCAAGTTGTCATCACTCTTTTCTCCATCACTTTCCTGGGTCAAACACAAACAAGGACCATACAAAGGTAAATAAAATAGACCTCCCAGAATGTAGATTTGAGAATAGGCAACAAGCAAATTATTCTTTGTTGAAAAGTGTGTGTGCTCATGTCTGTGTCCACTTTTTTTTTTTACATTTATTTAAATTAATTTATTATATGAACACAAATCAGAATCAGTTTATTGAACTCAACACCTAATAACAAATTCATGTACAAGCAAGTAGTTCCCTCATTGTGAGAGAAGACCATAAAATAGTGTAATAATATATTTTAGCAGAAGAAGTCTGAGGCCACACCCCACATGTGTTATATTTGCTGATGGGCATCATTAGGTACACATTGCTAATACTGGGTTGGACTCTTCTGCCTTTAGAACTGATGTAATGGTTCATGAAATAGACTCAAAAAGGTGCTAAAAATATTCCTCAGAGATTTGGGTCAATGTTGACATGATAGCAACAAACAGTTGTTAGCTGTACGTCCATGATGTGAATCTCCACCACGTCAAATGGCCATTTGATTACAGTGAACTCACTGTCATGAAGAAAACACTTTGATCTGAGCTTTGTGGCATGGTATATTATCCTACTGGAAGCAGCGAGAGGATGGGTACACTCTAGTCATAAATGGATAGACACGGTCAACAACAATACCAAGGTAAGCTGTTTAACCCATTAAAACCAATGGGGGCATCAAACTTTTAGATCAAACTACCGTAACTCTTGAACCAATCAGAAAATTCCAGTGGTTGCTGAAAGCAGCAACTCTGTGCTTTACAGTAATCCCATGCGGGGCGCCACAAATAACACAGAAAACAGGAAAAACAAAGCAATAAAATGAACCCAAATCCCTGATAAGATGTCTGTTTTCTGTAGAGCACCATCAAACCACTCACTCTGTCTTGTTTCAACCAAACTTCAATGGTGCTGCGACGCGTGGGATTACCGTAATGACCCTAATATCACTGAAAAGCGCATAGTCCTTGCTTTTGGAAAGCAACTGTTACCTGTCTAACACCAGTGACAGGTTAGGCTTTAGAGGGTTAAACAATGCCTATTTGCTACTGAAGGGGCAGAGTTTGCCAAGAAAACATTAACCAAATACCATTACACTAACAGCAGCCTGAAACATTAATACAAGGTGGAATGGGTCAATGCTTTCACATCATTGGTGCCATATTCTGACCCTGCCATTCAAATGTTGCGACTCATAAGACAAGCAAACATGCCCGGTTTAGACTTCAGCGGGTCATCTTGACCATGTCTGCATGTTACTGACTTGTAATTGGTTGATCAGATATTTGAATTAACATGCAGCTGAGCAGTTGTACCTAACAAAGCGGCTAAAGGTGGCATTTGTGGGGTGGTAAGGTTTGAAACAGGTATGGTTGGTATATAACATGATGTGAGTGAGGGGTGTTCCATGTGTACAGCATGTGACTTGCCTGCCTGAACTAGCTCACAGGCTACACGCCATTTGTTAAATATACTGGTCAAAATGGATTCACTAGAAGCATCCCAGTGGGTCATCTGACTGAGTTACAGGCATCATCCTTGGTTCAAAGACCTTTGGTGCGCCATGTTTCTACAAGTCTCTAGCATCTCTCCTAATCTCATCTCTGAAATAAAGAACAAATAATCTCAGTTTACTTCATTTAGACAAAAAAGTGTAGTTACTGTAGATATGACAGTACAGGGCCATGTAATCACAAGAGAACTGAATAATTGAGCTCTCCCTGTCCCTAATCCTTTCTAATGAGCTTGATAATAAATCTTCTCCGCAGCTCAAAAACTATTCATTTTAGCATATTCACTCACATAGCGTGTGGAGGTCAGCTCCTTATCATCTGTCTTCTGTTTTTTGCTGTCAGAGGAATAATCGCTTGAACTTCGATGCTTCTCTCCAGTTCGAAAATTGGCTGATGGAGAGACAGATGAGCTCTGGAAGAAAAAAACAACCATTTACTTAACTGAAGCTGATTAAAACTGATCTTTTTTGTTTGTAAAGTACATAAACCCTGCACTGGAAAATCATAATAAAATCAGAAATCAGGCAGAATCAGACAAGAACAGGCCCGTTTTCTAGCTCAAACATGTGTGGAAAATAGCTATTAGAGCAACGGTTTTTGCTATAGAAAATCATTCATTTCCATTGACATTGAATTCCAGAAACACATATAACTCAAACTTGTGCTAATAGCAACAAAACACACTTCCGGACAGAAGGAAAATTAATATAAAATTACATTTGTTTGTATTCAACAAAAACATACATTTAAAGATTAGGTTACATTTTCTGGGATGTGAAACCCAAACCAAATGGACACAGAAAGAATCATCCAAGCTCCACTGAAGAAGATGTGATTATCAAAGGCAAAAAAAGTTGAGATAAATTACTAATCTTCCCCAGGACAGACTGATAGGAAATATGTACGCTGCAGCTTTTACCGCTAGAAGAAACTTGGAATGTGTTGAGAGCCGTGCGGTCAGTCAACAATCTGAGCAAAAAGACAAAGCTGAGCGGTGCAGACACAACGTACGCCGCGGCTAGATTTCTGTATCGCTTTTAAAATATCCCCTGGCTGTCAAAACAATTTCCTTTTTACTGTATCACACAATACAAAAGCAGCACTGCAGCCTTGACAGTTTGACTACAACATCGCAGCTTTACGGGGAGGGCTTGGCTGACGTCTCTCTTTCTTAATCAAATATGGCATCTTTTAAATACCATTACTGAAGGATTAATCTTCTTTGAGAAGCAAGGATCAAAATAAGGTCAGCTAAACATTTCCCCTCCAGCTCTGCCTGCCTCTGCTGATCTCTCTCTCTCTCTCTCTCACTCACTCATTGGGAGGTCCTTCTTACCCAGCAGACGATGGACAGAGAAGAAAAATAAAGCAGGACCTTTAGCTCGACCTTTCCACTAACTCACGCTTGTAACCTTTCCGCTGCCCTTTGCCGTGCTGCAAGTGTTGATGACAAAGATTCTGTGGGGGAGGAGTGAGGGGTTCACTGTGTGTGTGTGTGTCTGTGTGCGTGAGTGTGCTGCTCAGGCAGCACTTGTACCTGTTTACATTTTAGTACTCCATATGTGCAAACAGTGTTAAGGAGTCAGTGTGTGTACAGGTGTGTGTCTCGTCTTGAGTGAGACGAGGCAAACTGAGCCCCTGACTCTGTGTCGCTCTATTTCCAGACTGATTAGATTAATTAGCCTGCAAATTAGCTCTTTCAAAAACATCAAAGCAAATTAATTCTGCCGCAGAGACAAATGAAGGCGCTGCCGACAGCACGAGCATTATGAACGTGAGGACCTCTGAGGTGTGGTTGAGTGAGAGTATTCATTTTCATTCACATCATAATTATATTTGCCTCCCATTTCAAATTGATTCTGCAGGTCCTGATAATGATATCTGCAACCTCGAGTGTTTTGTATTTTTCAGCTTTACAAACAGTCTCGCTCCCTAGTGTCTCTCGGGTAATTAGGAGCACGGACGTCCAGGATGAGGTTACTATGCCGTTGTTAGGCATTGTAAATTTATGTTCAGCGTGGATGTTTGGGGTGCATCACAGGGTTATAAAAATAGAGTTCAAATCCAGTTCAAATGCAGTCTGACACTGAGAAGTTGCTGCACCTGAGTCTGACACCTTTTCCAAAAAATCTAACTTTGTCTGTCTTCCGCTTCTAGTCTTCCACTGGGAGCAACAGGTCAATTTTGAGGGGTTTCTGGTGTAGCCAGTGGACACACAAGACTTTAGGTACAGTAAAGGTAATAAAAAGACTAAGCTTTTTCAAGATTGCATTTGAGCAAATGTATTTTTTCTTTTGCTCTCCACAGAGACTGTTTAACTAGATGCAACCAAATCCTGCTCAAGATTAGAGCTACAAGCAGACGACCAGATGGAAGCCAGAAAGGTTCCAGGTGCCAAAAATCATACATTTTACTTACAAACTGCATATTTATAAGAAGATATGTTTTTATAGAGATTACACACAGAGCCACTTGTTCAATCAAATTATTGCCAAACTTTATCACAGAAAATACTAAATAGCATGCTATCTGAAAATCCTGTGTCATCAACATGCACAAAAACACAGAACTTCCCCATGTGCAGCATGAAAAATGTGTGTAAATGTGTAAATCCTCTCATATTGTTCTCCAAAGAAACAACTTCTTTGTTCAGAGACATTTTAGCGATAATCACATTGCCCAAGTAAGTCCAATTTATCTAGATCTAAGGGTAGATTTACCTCACAAAGTGTCCATATTTGTGCTATAAATTCAAAACCAGCCTTTCAGTTTTAAACTATTTAAACTACAAGGAACGTTCTTGTTCTCTGAAGTCATCAGCAAATTTGCACAGATCGAAGAATTGCGAATTTATAAACGAATATGTCTTTTTCTATGCTGGACCACAGGGGGCTCTGCACAAATGATTTCTGTAAAAACCCCAAATCTTTAGAACTCTGGCTTGATGTAATTTTGTCTAATAGTTCTCTCACTCTGCTCAGCTCAATTTGTCACTTATTATTCTGCAGCCAACACAGCATGGGAAGCCAGACTGCACATTGTATGCAGAGCTTTTAAAGAGCATCCCGGCATAAACAAAGACAAGCAGACTGCATCTGTACAGCTTGTTTACCAGCGACAAAATTCAACACAAAAAGCATAGAAAGAGAAGACCACTGTAGCGATCGCACAAACTACAAGCTGCACTGCATTTATACTTCAACAGGTGATTAACTGTAAAGGTCAGTCTAAACTTGAAAGCGACCTCATTAGAAATGTATTGCTCCTGTTTCTTTTAAAAAGAAGACAAAAACAATCCCGCAGACAGACAAAGATGGTTACAATGTTACTATGTGATTCTACGCGTCTAATTTGACTTAAGGTGATTAAAAAAAAGAAAACCTGTTTGTGAGAATTGGCATTTCAGAAATGACTTTAAAAAAAGCCACAAACACTAAAAATACAGAATTAAAATAAAATTGTCATTGACCACTGATCCAGCAATTAATGTGTACTCATAATCAGGTCTGTGAAGTTGTAGTCCTTGAACACACCATAAAGTAACTGCATAACTGACTGCCTGTACTGCCGTCTATACACACATAAGCACACACACAAGTAGCGTTTACATTCACGTAGCTTTATCAGTGTGTGAGGTGCTAACGCCAAGGACATTAAGGCACAGATGTCCATGCAATTCACACACACTGTACTCTGTGGACTGTTGCCAAGGCAACTGCAGACCACTGACAAGGGGCTTATTGGTTTCATGAAGTGACTGTTGGCCGCCATGTCAAAGAGCAGCTCTGCATGTGTGTGTGTGTGTGTGTGTTCTCACAGGGCACTAATGAAAGGCATCCATCATTCTGGCCTCTCTCTATCTTTATCAAAGCGTTCTTGTGACCTCACACTCACACACACACACTGCTAATCTCTCCCATCATGGTGCCTACACCTCTGAGCGTATGTGCATGTGCATTCAGGTGTGTTTGAACATGTGTGTGTGTGTGTGGAGGAGGAGAAAACTACATGGGGGGCAAGAGATAACAAACATACCTCCAGTTAGAGCATTCCTCCTGTTTCCGCCTACTCCAAAACACCAAAGAACACACACACACACACACACACACACACATGCACAGGCTTCTAAACTCATGCATGTTTGTGTAAAAGTGTGTGCGCTCAGGCTGCTGGTATAAAGAAATGCTAATCTGCTCATTGAGTATTCAACAAACCAAATGTTTGCCTTGGGAAAAATGCTGCGCTTAAGGGACTAATTACTACAAGCGCTGGATAGAACAGTGATCTGTTGCGCTGCCTCTTTCTGCTCCCTCCTTCCTTCACTAACCATACTGTGCTTTTTCCCCCCCACTTTCTTCTCTGCTCACCTTGGGGTTTCTCTTTCACACCGTTTTGTTTTTTTCTTCCCGAGCTGTTACCAGTTTCCCATATCTGATATTTTTATTACACACAAAGCACAAGTGAAGAATATGAAAATGACAATAAGATCAGAAGCTTATAATGTTTTCTTTAAGCCTTAGTGTGGTCATTTTCATTTCCAATTACATTGACAAGCATAAAATAAAATTTCATAATAGGACATTTGTGTGAACATCCATCCATTCTTTTTCTTAACCACTTATCCAATTAAGGGTGGCAGGAGGGCTGGAACCTATCCCAGCTGTCATTTGGCAAGCGGCAGGATGCACCCCGAACATGTCGCCAGTCCAACATGTTCGGAGCTTTGTGGGAACATATTAACAATATCATTTTACAGTAATGTTTTAAATCAAATACTACATGTGTAAATATTTAGGATCTTGGAAATGTCACAGAACTGTTTTCAGTTTGATGGCTGTCTCTAACAGTCTCTTTTACATAAACACAGACGTGCACATAGACATCCTTAAAGCCAACATCAAGATTTCATCACAGACAGGCTTTTTGTGTGCGTTATGAATAAAAATCAAAACCTGTCTATCCTTTTATATCAACAAAAAAAAAAATAATTCAAAGTACAAAATGACACAGAGAAGTTGAGCGAGCAGAAGTGAAGCTATGCTCTAAACATGTCTTTTTTTCCTTTTTTAACAAAGGGAATAAAGAAAGGAAGGACTTACCTTGACTGAGTCTCTGTCTGAGAGGGCGGAGGGCATGAGATAGAAAAAAAGAATGACAGATTCAATGTCTGAAGCACAAGAACACACTGGCAAACACACAAACACACACACTGCTGCATATAACAGATACATACAGATACAAAAAGAGAGCTAATGGCGAATTTATGATGTTTTTGATGAAGATACTGGGGAATTTCATTACTGTTTATGGATCTTGAGGGGTACTATTAGAGTACTACTGCAAATAAATAGCACTTACACCTCTTTTCCAAATTAACAGATAAATCTCTTACAGTTTTGCTCTCAATTAACCATTCACGCACGCTTTCACACATTGATAGTGACAGGGGTGTCTTTGAAAGCAGACCTCTACACATTGGAAACTCTAAGTTCATTATTTTGCCCAAGGCACTTCGACAAATGGACAGGAGCAGCTGCAGATTAATCAATCAACCTAACTTGCTCTAAATCCTAATTGCAAAGTTTTGGAGAACCTTTTGAGGATTCAGATAAAGTAAGAAGTGGAAACCTCCGTTTTTCGGCTTTAAGACTTGTGTGCTGATGTTTGCAACTTTATTGGGGCAGAACTCAGCACACTGGTAACACTAAGGCTCCGTCCACACTCACTCTCCGTTTTTGCCACCCGTCCACACTGAGACTGTTTTCGCTGATGGAAAATGCAGCGTTTTGAGAACGCTCTTGAAAACGCATACATTTGGAAACGGTGCTCTCGCGTCGCAAAAACGCAGACTTTCTAAAACGATGAGGCATGTTAGTCATCTTAGTTTAACTGGTCGCAGCCATGCGACCAGTTAAACTAAGATAGCGGAGGGCATTATACAGCAGTTGTTTTGTTTGCTCTGAATTTTGACAGCCCTATTAATATCAGTTTGTATATGCTCCAGGTGGCTTTTCTTCAAATTCTTTAACTCTCACTCGATTTTGCAACTTTGTACTTTTGTGTCACTCGCAGCAACAACTCGGTGCTTTTCCTCAACATTTTGCCGCGATGTTTCACAGAACCGGAAAGTAAATAAGCGGCAGACTAAATGAGGCAGGTCGAATCTTCTTGAGTTTCATGCATGCACGGTAGTGGAACGTAAGCATTTTCGGCCATTTGTGGATGCACAACTCTGTGAAAACAACTGAAAAAAGTGGACGTAGCCTAAATGCTAACCAAGTGGTGTTGGTGCCTAAACCAAAACATACCATACAAAAATAAAAGTGGGCAGTAAGATAAACACAACTAAAGCAAGAAAGTAGAAAAAACAACTCAGACAAATGTTGGAGGATTTGTTGGTTTAATTTGTGTTTGCCTCAGTACTCTGCTCTCAGCTGACATAGTGAATAAATTTTTATTTATTAGAGTTTGTACATTATCCGTCATTTTCAGTGTCAGTCTTTTAAGACATTAATATTAACCATTATTACTGACCAGTGAAGTTTCTAAATGTGGTGAAGAAGTCCAACGGGTTAAAAATACACTGAGGTTAGCACCACAGTCACACAATGTTCAACAGTGCAACCTGCAGAGAAAATGCTTTTTAAAATACTAAAAGGGGAAAAAAGAAAGTTTTTATTCCCTTTGTTCACTTAGTCATTTCAGGAAGCAAGCTGTAGCTGGAACTGTATTCTTAGTGACTGTGCTCCTTAGGTGGGTAAGTATTACCTCAGTTAGCAGCCGTTAGCTTTACTGCAGCTACAGTGCAAGGTTAACTGCTCTGCTGCACTGTAAAAACCCTCACTGACATGCTGCAACAGAGTAATTAAGTGCTGGCGCACAGTTTCAAACCTACACGCACACGTACACACACATGCACACACATAGTCTCAATGAAGAGTAATTAAATGCTTGAGCTCAAAGTCAGCTCAGAGAAGAATTAGAAGCGCTCTGTGTGAACAGGAGAAAAGAGGCATCATGGTGGTTGTGTATTGCTTCCTATTAGGCCAATTAAAGTGGCATAAAGACAAATCAGTTTTTAATTGTTTAACTGCTGTTCATTCAGAGCACTAACAATTAAGCATCAGCCATTACAAGTGGTAATTCGTAATGCTGGGTGAATACTTTGACATGTAAAAGTGGATTTGGATCATTAACTGAACAAAAGATTTAAGCTTTGATGTTTATGTTTACCAAATATATTTAGCATCTGTCTGTGAGTGAAATAAAACAGCCAAGTTGTTGCGAAGTATTTTAGTCCGCTTCAAACTATCTCACCAAGAGTCACGATAAAAACAAAGTGTACTTTCTTCCAATTATAAGGCTGTACACATCAAGGCATAATCAAAACCTCTTGTCCTCAGCGGGTTTTAAATGAGGGAAATAAACCTCAGCTGAATGACAACATGTGATATATTATACTGTGCAATTATTTGTTGAACACAAATAAAGCCAAAACACAGAAGCAGTGTGTGTAAGTAAGTAGCAGTCAGGTTGTGCACACCCATTTAATTAACTGATCATCAGCAAGTGTGAGCACCTCTATAAAAACAGAGGCTTTGGCAGTTTGCTCGTCGTTAACATTCGGGGGTGTGTTAAAACAATGCCAAGGAGGAAAGACATCAATAATTATCTTGGAGAAGCAATTGATGCTGCCCATTAATTAAGGAAGTCTTATAAAGCCATTTCCAAACATTCTGAAGTCTATTATCATCATTAAAAAATATTCACAAGCAGGAACCATTCAAGAATGCTGCTAATCTCAAGCATGCTGATCCACACAGGTATGCACACAGGTGTACACACGGGTGTTCACAGACGCGGACTACAGCTTTCTTGGCTGCTGCCTCAAAGCACATTGTGCGCTGTCTATCTTGCGTGCTGCACAATATCGTTTATTATTTAGTATCTACTGATATCTACTGCTAGCTAGTTTATTGTGATGGTGCTGTTTTTTTTTATTATGTTGCTCTTTGTTGTTTGCTTTCTCTTTTGTTTTTTTTCTCCATACAGGTGACCCAGGTGTTTTTTTTTTTGTTTGTTTTTTTCTTTCTTCCCCCCCTTCTCACCGTCTCCTCTCCCCTTTGGTTTTCTTTCTCTCCCTCTCTTTCTTTCATTCTTTCTCCCTGTCCTATCCCCCAGTCATGTCTGTCCCGTTTGTAGCAACTGAAAATAAAATAAATTCATAATTATAATAAAGGTCAATCAAATGGACCAATATGGCAAGGCCATGATGATCCACTTGGTAAAATAAATCCGCTTGGCATCTTTCTTGGCCTTAAGACAACAATTCTGATGGCTAAAGATCCAAACGGGACACAAAAAAAAAAGAAAAAAAAAAAAGAATGCTGCTAATCTTCCCAGGAGTGGTTATCCCAGCAAATGTTACCTAAGATCAGACCATGCAATGCAATACAGAGAAAGAGCTACATTCCTGACTCTGCAGCCCTCAGTTAGCATGCCAACTGTTAAAGTTCCTGACAGTGCAATTACAAATATGGCTCGTTTGGAAGGTTTGCCAGGAGTAAGCCCTTTCTCTATAAAGAGAACATGGCAGCACAGCTAAAGTTAGCAAAGTTGCTTCTGAACAAACCACAGCATTCCTGGAACAATGTCCGAGGACATACAAGACCAAAGTGGAGATGTCTGGCCGTGATGCACAGCGCCATATCTGGCTTTAACCAAACAGAGCATATCCAAACAAACACCTCATATCAGCTGTAGAACACAGCAATGCAGGGTTGATGATTTGTAATCACAGAATCTGGGCACCTTGCAGTCAACGAGTTAACCACAAACTCCTCTTTATATTAATAGTGAGGCAATCTGTCTGAACGCTTAAGCTTGGTTAAAACTGGGTAATCCAACAGGACAATGATTCTAAATACAACAGCAAATCCACAACAGCAACAAAAGCAAAAAAGATGCAGCAATGGCACAGTTAGATCTCAGACCAACTGAAATGCTATGGCAGGACCTTTAGAGAGCAGGAGATATAGGTCTGCTCTCAAATCTCAGGTGACTGAAACAATGTTGCAAAGATGAGTGGGCAAAAATGCCTCCACAATAATGTGAGAGACTGTCAAAAGGAAGGCATTACTTTAAGTTATTGCTGTCAAAGGTGGTTCTACAAGCTATTGAAGCTTTTTCACAGGCTGCTTCTGCGTTTTGGCTTAGTTTTTGTTAAATAATGACATGATGCAATATATCATCTGTTGTTATTTAACTGAGATTGTGTTTACCTGATTTTAAGACCTGATACACCTTGGCTGAAAAGACTAGATAGGTTTATCCCAATTGGGGAAACCTTAGAACTGACAGAGGGTGTGCTTTCTTTTTGCCTTTACAGTAAACAAACTGAGAGCGTATCTTTGTATCTACCTTGTGTAAGAATTTGCCCCTTATAATCAGGTAACTCGCTTTTTGACTAAACCATAATTAGAGTAAACCTTAAAGCAGTAGTTTGAAAACTCAAATTGTGACTTTGAACATACAAGCAGATGTAACAAATGCAAGGGTAATTTCAGTCATGAAGAGACCAAGACTCACACAGAAACAAGCACGCACAAACCAAAATCAACACCTGCTATATAAAAACAGCACACACAGAGCAGACCTCACCTCGTGTGTGTTCGCTGTTGTTATCGTGATGCTTCCTCTCATCTTTGAGTGGCAGCTGGTGACTCAGGGCAGAGGACAGAGCCAGCAGGCTGGCAGTACTGGCCCCAGGAGGCAGAGGGGGCTGAAGGCCCGCTGGGTGGGGTGTTAGCGGGACAGGGATGGCATGGCCATGAGAGAGGTGCTGAGCCTGGAGTTGCTGCTGCTGAACCAGACACAGAAACACCAATTAAGACTTGAAAGATCATGCATGATAAAATACAAATAAGTAGGTGACAAAAGGGAAGAGAAGGAAAGAAAAACGAATTCAAAGTGAGTGGGGAAAAGATAGCAACTGAAACATGTAGACTACAGCTACAATAGTTAAATGTCAGATAAACTTTTTTTAATTTTATCAAAAACACCAAAACCTTTGATTCATCAGCCAACATAAACGGTGATATTTATATAACTGACAATTTCTGTGAAAGATGCTAAAACATTCAAATTTCTTGCAGAAAGAAGTTAGCTATTACTACTATACAAAATACTTTGGTTTTATTGTATATTATTATGAATACATCTGACTTTGTACTTACTCTTCTCCTCACATTATTCTTTTTCAATTAATCTCTTAAGCTATTTTCCAACATTGCTGTAAAAAAATAATCTATGCATTTTGTATTTAATTGTGTGTGTCTGCGTGTGTGTGTGTAATACACCCACTCCTATGATGGCGTTGAGTTCAGCCATGGTGACCTGCTTGGCCCTCTCTACTGCCTGCACCACCTGCTGCTGATGCTGAGAGACACACAGAAACAAAAAAAACAAACAAACTGAAACTGAAACAGCAGCTGAGACGGAGAAAAGAATGATATGAAAAGAATTTTATAGTTATTACAAACAACATCTTTACAAAATTCAAACAATATTTAAAATGGACTGGAATGGACACGTAAAATGAGCAGGAACTTATCTCGTTTCATCCCATTGAACTTGCATATGCGTACAGCAATCATTCTAATGCATTCTGTGATATCTTTTAAACTGCTTTCCATCTGAATCCATCATTGTGCTTTGCCTATCAAACCTTATTCACAGCTGTCAGTTAGTTGCACACTGTAACTTCACACAGCCTGCAATTTCTTCAGAATTAACAATGTACTGACTGTGAAATATGTCAATCTCATTAAAACAGATATCAATGTTCAGTAACACGAGCGTGCTATAAAATCACCTGAAACTTGATATATATTTTTTCCTTTTTATTAAAACTCAAGGTTCTGACCAGAATCAGGTCAAACGCCAGACAGACAAGATTCCCCGAGGCCATTGAATCAAGACTGCACTTCAGTGCTTCGCTTCAGAATCTGACACCCATCAGTGCATTCATTAAAAGTCATCAGGCAGAAGAAGCAGCTAGCAGCTAATTAGGGTATACTAGTTAGTCAAGTGTAACCTGCACAGGCTGGTTGATTTCCTCTACGTGGAGGAGAATTAAAAAACAAACAAACAAGTGGATGTCCAAAGGAAGCAGTTAAAGACGTGTATTACAAGTGGCCAAAAATTCAGTTACAGACTCGTACAATATTTTGTGGATTCTGTGATTGGTTTAATGTTTCTGATTTGAGATTGTTATTAAAATTTTATGCAGCACTGTTTTCTGATTTTTGCTCAGTCTGCTCACACGTCTCGACACTGAACAGCTCCAAAAAGTTCAACACATAGGGAAAAAAGATGGGTACCAAGAGAGGCAGACAGCTAACAGGGCAAAGTCATACAAAGGGTACAGAGAGAGGAAGACAGATCCAGACAGTGAGAGAGCAGCGAGATTCATCCAGGAGCGCAAAACATCAAAGTACGCCCGAGATGAAAGAGCTTATCAGGTGTGGAAATGAACCTGACCATCGAGTTCAGCTACACCTCTGCAGGCTCAGACTAACCTGCCTGAATGTGACACACACACACGCACGCACACACACACATGGAATGATCCACTATATAAATTGTGCCAAACACTTTTTATGCAACAGTTCTAAAAAAAAATAGAACAATCCAAAATCAGTCGTATAATCAACACTAGAGTTCAATCTGTGCAGATGCTTTTCATTTCTTTGTATATTGTTACACCATAGGCTCCACTGGAATGTCACGCTTGGGGAAGCAGTTTTAGATGTGCAGATGTTGCTAGTATAAGTTAAAGGCTTGGTGAGGTAAACCATTTTCAAAGAGGTATTGAAGGGAGGGGGGCATTTAAGAGAAAGAAATCAAAATAATAAGTCTACCTCAGACACTGTGATGCATTTCAAGAGTAAATACGAAAAGCTGAGAAAACTGAAAAAAGTTGAGAAGGACAACATGATGCGCGATACTAATGAGATGGAGTTGTAGAGGGTCGTATCCTAGCAGCCTGTTAAAATTTGCACAGGACTGAACGTAGATAATCAGTGATAGTTTGCATAATGCCTCTGCACTCTGACAGAGGATGTCTGAATTTAGAGGCTCTATATTTACCAATGTACATATTCTGTTGCCTTCAGATGGCACGAAGGATTCAGTGCACTGAAGTAGATTTTCTTACAGAATAACTGTTTCACCATTGTTTTTGTATTTGCCTAAAGAGGATTGGTTACTTATGATTTCTTGTAAAACTGTAAGGGAAAATCTGACTTCAAATATGAAACAATACCTGCAATCACAGCAAAACTGTGGCTCGATTGTTTAGTGATTAACATATTCACGTTACACCTGTTTTGGGACTTGGAGGGGACAAAAATCTAGCCTCGGGGTGGAGGTTACACGGTAATGTATTCCTAGTGCTGGTTGTAAAACTGGATAAATGAGATGGTTCTTTTGGGAGGGGCATCTGGCATAAAATCTGTGCCAAAATGAAAATATGGGGATCCATCCACTGTGGTGGCCCCCTTGGGAAATAAAGGAGTAGCCAAAAGCTCATACAATCATACAAAATACTTTTAGGTTTTACCTATTCAGTGATTAATTATTCGGGTTAATAACCAACACAGTAAAGCAGACAAAATTTACTAAAATTATTATATCAAATTAATTGTGCATTCATTTGGTAGCTTGACAAGAGCAAAAACTGACTTTCTGACTGAGAAAGTTCAAATGAAGAGCTCAGAAATCAGCTCAGAAAATTTTGATACATGATCTGCTGAGTTGTTAATGTCATACATAGAAATATGGTGAGTTTAAGTAAATATCTGGTTGCTGTTAACCACAAGGAGGGAACTAGATAAGCATGGAGGTATTTGTTTGAGGTAAGTCAAGTAAGAAGTCAGGCAAAGCAGTTATTCGCAGAGAACAACATGTCTTTTTCTTTTACTCTGAGCAACTGACTTAAACACATCTTGGTGTCCCTTCCAACTCAAAAGCACATGAACACCTTGAAATCAGAGGAATGATTCCTCACTGGGGATATGGCAACAACCGAGGAACATGTAAATAACGAGTAACTAAATGCCAGATTTTACAAATTATGCTTATTTCCAGTTTCAGATTTTCATTTTTGAAAACTGCTACAATAGCTTAGCGTAATTCCTCACCCCACCCAACTGCACCTTGAAAACAGATGGTAGGAGAAGCAGGTGGACTGGGTCCCTGCTATGCACATCGCCAGAGCTGTGTACCAGACATGACCAAGTACCTAACCACCACTTCTGAGAAGAGCATATTAAGAATATTTCCTCTCTTTGACATCACAAAGATCCATAGTTTAACTAGCGGCCAGGTGGTGTGCCCAAGTGCTTACAAGTGCTCTTTAAATCAGCTAACCCCCCCAGGCCGCGCACCGGTACCAGTCCGTGAGTTGTTTGGTACCGGGCTGCAAGAGTTGAGGCTCGTGTGTGAAATTTATGGTTTTCAGGGTTTTTATCGTTATTTGTTTATCGTTTTTATCGTTAACTCGGTTTCCCTGGGTCTTTTCTAGTGTTTTATGAATAAATCTTCTTTTTTCGGTACCGGTACTAGTTTTATTTTGTTGTATTTATCCACGACACCTTAAAGGCCGGTCCATGAAAATATTGTCGGACATAAACCGGTCCGTGGCGCAAAAAAGGTTGTGGACCGCTGCTTTAAATGATCATAACTCTGTTAGCGATGTGCTAGAGATAAAATTGAAATGGTTTCATAACGAAGAGAAGACAACATTTATGGAGATATTCTGCGTGTCGTGGTTTCCCACTGTATTCCTGAAGTACAGAAAAATTAGCTCCAACTAGATGCTATCATGTGTGCTTCACATTACTGTAACTCCTCAACCATTATAGGTAAGAGAGAAAATTTAAATGGTTGGTGAAATATGAGAATTATTTTGTAATTTTACAGCCAAAACTCCAAAATAAGTCCAGCTGGTATGTATGATACTTGTTTGATAAAGAGTTATAATAAGAAAAAGTATAACTGGTCCACTTTAAGGACGTAGTTATTCCAAAACTTTCAGAAACAGATGGCACTTTTGTTGCCTTACCTTACTTGCAAATGTAAATGTCAATAAAGGAATGCATATGTGATCTTTAAAAAGGAGCCTTTTTATGGCAGAGACATAAAATCTGCCTCATGATAATGATTCTATTTATATGTTATGTTCATTGGGGGATTTTATTTACTCAAGTATATTTTTTCTTTATAAATTTGTCAGAAATAACATTTTTGTCAACTGACTTAACACAAACTTATTGCCTTTGCTGTAAATGGACCAATCATACTTACATGGCCCCAAAGGCCAATGAAACATTATCAGAAAATGACAAAAATAAAAATAGAAAACAAAGCACTTTCACCAGAAATACACAGACACAGTCGATGTGATTTGCTGCACAACAATAATATGAATGTGTTACATTTACTTGCACATGCAGTAAACAAGGCTGTGCACCAAAACAAAGCAGCTTCCTCTCCCTGCCTCCCCTCTCTGCAGGCCTCAGGGCTGTGTAGCAGCACCACAGTCTAATGCCATTATTCCTAATCCACCCTAAACCCTCCTAATCCATGGCTAATCTGGAGGAGAGCTTTTGGAGTCCACACTCACTCCTTCCTGCTGTTCCCACCCCTCAGCACACACACACACACACACACACACTGTCAGCTCCTCAGAGGAAGGATTTATCAGCTCAACACACGCACACCTAAAAATTTCACAATAAACACTGCATAAAAACACTTCTCACACCCACTGCTGTATGTGCACACAATTATAATGTATTTTAACACAAAAAGTATTTTCTCACACACACTCAGCCGCTGGCTCCTGCATATGTTAGTGGGAGACATTTGATAAGTTCAGAGCATATCTGTCTATCCTGAGCAGGGGGGATTAGCCCAGGATAATCTGTACGAGTGTGTGTCTGCGTGTGTGTGCGTGTCCCCATATTTTTCTTTCTCTTGCTTTAAAATCCACCACACACTTCTCCCCTTTCCTGTCTCCCTTCCTCCCGCTCTCTGACTCTCTCTCACCCACCTCCTTCTTAACTCACAGTGACAGGCATTTTTGAGTCTTACCTCTTGAGAGAGGAAGGGGATGACTTGGGCGCAGATTGCGTTCAGCCGTTTAACGATCTCCGCCTGCAAGACAGAGAAGTGGGAAGCACACAGTCATTTTTTAAATTTGTTTAAATTCTCTAGCAGACAAGAAGGCGTCATCCTGTTCACACAGCCTTCAATTCCTGATTCAGTTTATATCAAAGTAATAGCTCACATAACTTTCATTTCAAGACCTGTTTACTTCGTCACATGAAACTAATAATTTGATGAACATCTCTCATAAACATGTGTTTAATATCTAGTGTGTTTCCTCCAAAACAAATCTCTGGGTGCACGGGAACTTGTGTATTTTAAATGTCAAGAATATTTAGTTAACTCTAACTCAGGAGGTAGAGCAGATTGATTACAAACTCTAAGTTATGCTATGACAGGATACTGGACAGACAAAGATATCCCTGTAAAATGTTGTGTGAATGAGGAAAAGCACCATAAGTCTTAAAAAAAGTGTTGCTAACCAAAGCAGAAAATTCAAGAAATAATATCTGAAAGTTTCATAAACTACAGGAAGACATTTCCATGCAAAAATATAGAGCATCACTATTATCACATATTCAAGTCACTAAGCATCTAACCCATAACCAGCATTTTCTAAACAGCAACAACTTTTTTACTAAGCCTAATTTTTTGCTAAGGAGTAACCTTATTAGGTACACCAGTTCAACTGCTCATTAAAACAGATTTCTAATCAGCCAATACCACAGAAGCAGCTCAGTGTATATAAGCATGTAAGCACAGTCAACATGTCCTGCTAAAGATCAAACTGAGCATCAGAATTTGGAAGAAAGGTGATTTAAGCTACTTTGAATGTGGCATGTTTGCCATAACCACTTGTTGCAGTAATACAGAAGAGCATCTCTGAATATGCAACATGTCAAACCTTGAAGCAGATCAGCTACAGCAGCAAAAGACCACACTGCATACTACTCGTCGACTAAGAACAGGAAACTGAGGCTACAGATTGAACAGGCTCACCAAAACCGGGCAATAGAAGACTGAAAGAGTGTTTCTCAGTCTTGGTTTTCATGAGTCTCAATTTAATGTAATGGTATCTGGTACTTTTTCTTGGCACACTTTGGACCCCTGAGCATCATTTAAACTCCACAGCAAATATGTCCATCCCTTTATAACCAAAGTGTACTCATCTTCTGATGGATGTTTCCAGCAGCACAACATGCCATGTCAAGCTTAAACTATCTCGAACTGCTTTCTTGAACATGAGCATGAGTTCTCTGTACTCATCAGATCTCAATCCAACAGAAAACCGTTGGGATGTGGTGGAAGATTAGCATCATTCACGTGTAGCTGAAATATCAGTACAAAAGTCTCTGAGGAATTTTCCAACACCTTGTTAAATCTATGCGACAAAGGATTCAAATGATTCTAAAAGTAAAGGCTCCAAACTGGTACTAGCAAGACAAAAGCTCCCAATCACACAAGCATTCATCCGCCTAAAATACAAAACCGTTTTACAGATTTTCTAACACATTTATAGAAACAGTCACGTCATACATTTCCTGTTTTTACCATTTTATCACTTAAATGTAAAACGAATTTGCATGCACCTCACACACAAATACAAACAGGCTTAATGTGTATGCTCTGCACACATACTTCATGAATGAGGAAGAATAAAGCATTCATGTACTCTTATCCTGATGTATCCTGAAAAATGTCTATCGCTCCTTATATTTTCACCCTCTCTCAACATGGACATTCTCTCTTAGTTCCAAATCTTTTTTGCAGTGTTGGTGAACTTTATCAACTTCGAAAACAAATGCAGCTGAATTCTTTGAATAATCAAACAACATTTCTGCTAAGATGCTGAAGATTTACCTTGGAACCTGCCATCCAAGCCTCTTGACAGAATAATAATTAAAAAAAAGTGTCACTCTGTGAAAGAAAAGGCACAAAATCGAACAAAGTGGTTGTTTAAGAGACTTGTAATGGAAGCTGATAGCAAAATGGAACATCAACATTATCAAACTGAGATATAAAAGGGGAATTGCACCAATTCAGCACTGAACTCCTGTAACACTCACAATGTGCATTATTTAAAAAATATTAGAATCAGTGCAGCAGAGTGTCTCTCTTTTTACAAATTCTTCTTTGCCAAATATGCCACGACCGCCAACAATGGACAGTTCACTACTTTAATCTAAGATTATTGTCCTAGTAGCACTGAAAGAAGTCTTCTGCTGCTAGCCTAAAGCAAATCACAATACAGATTTGTGCTTAGGTCATGTCTTTGTACAGAGATCGCGTTTAATTCCTGAACAAGCCCCAATTTGATATGACCAGATCAGAACAATGGACTAGTAAGGACTTAATATAGATTTGTTTAACTAAGTATAAATCAGAATAATCTGTATTAGTGGTGTAAAACAATATGTAAAGCTACTCATGAAGTGCATGTTGAAAGTTAAAAACAAACCAAAGGGTAATGAATAAAGTTTCAGCCACACTTCAAGGAAGTTGCTCATTGCGTGTCTCTTTGAAGCTGACATCTGTTAACTATAACCCTCTAATGAATTTACTACTAGGTCATATATTAGACTGCATTCTCATTGGTAGTCCCTTCAATCAGTTGCCTGGAAGTTGTCAAAAGTTTATCTTGGGTTCTGCCCAGGTTACTTTGCCAATGGTTTCACCTGGAGTCGCGTGAAATAGCCAAATATTATTCACATTCTATGATTTCTAGTCGCTGCCCTGCTTCCAGCGTGGGTGCTGCTTCAGAGATGGACACAGTAACTTAGATGAAGTTTAAAGTACCCCTGTAGAACACTGGTCAAGTGGCAAGCCAACTTAGCTCTGCAACATAGTGGGAAAAAGCACATACACAATGCACTATCGCTCACAATTCCATAAAACTCACCAAGACCTTTAAAGTGACTCTCGTCTGTAACTAATTGGAGTAAACCTTTAAGTACCAGAGGAATGATCACAGCACTTAATTTGAAATAAACTGATAAACTGTGCCTTAACATTTAATGGGTGTTAGAGTCACTTGTAATGACAACCTCTGCAGATTTTTAAAGATATCTGAGAGACAGTTTTCAACAAGATGTAGGCCACTTTAAAAGGCATCATAATTTCATCATATGCCAATCAGAAAGCTATGACATATCCATTTTTCATCTGTAAAGACTGGATGTGTATTTATTTCTTTAAATTATAGCAATTATATTTGATTCATTTAAATTCTGCTATGCTAAAGCTAAATGTCTCATTATTGGCCTCAAAAGTCCAACGTTACATTATCAGATTTACTCCTTATCCTTCTACATCCCTGAAAGGTAATTCTCTGCTGCACTCTTTGAGCTTTATTCAGTTTAAGCTAAATGGATGATTTGTAAACATAAACCCAGAGAGAACGTGGAGTATAGAAAGTGTAATCCTTTGCAGACAGATAAAGGAAAGTGTAACATTTTTGTTGACTTAACACATTAAATTAAGACCCTGGCTACTGAAAAAAAGCAATCAGAGTTTGAGATAATTTCTCCAAGGCCAACACAAATATATAAGTTACATCCGTAACCTTGCCAAGCACTTGTTTTATGTACATAACCTTGGCAGAGGTGAACTTTGCTCTGGCATCAGTGGTAACAGAGCCCTCAGAGGCAAATATAGGCTTCAGACAGCAGCACAAGCAACGCTGCGGCAGTACGAGACACATAAACACAACCGTGTGCGCAAATACATGCACATGCACATACACACTCCAGCTTCTCTGTATTCATCAGATGTTTTATACTGAGCCCAAGGGCTAGCTTTTAAAGATTACACAGCACTCTCTCTTTCTAGATCAGGTAGAATTTTTTTAACAGGAAATTGCCTGATCCACTGTCCCAAAGGGAGTGCTAGTAGTGCACCTCAAATACAAACGCCAACACAGACAAAAGACTCAGACTCACACAGAACCGCATACTAATGGGTACACAAAGATGAACATCACCTTCTTTGTTTGCAACACTAAGTGCATAAAACTACATAACTGACTATTTCCTCTCGTGATGACATGAACATTATAGAGTCAGTTCCCATCAAAGCCAAATTCACGTGTGCCTGCTGGTGACAATTTAAGTTCTAAGTCCTAAACAATATCTCTGTTTCTGTTTAGTAAACTTGAAAGCACATAAATCAATCAAGTACTGAATCAAAGGTAATGGCGAGTAACGGTTATTTTATTATTTTTTAACTGGTAATGAACAAAGAAATGGCAATTCATAATGTTAGCTAATTATTTAATAGCTGGTTTGAGCATTATTTCAACTTTTATCATAAAGTTTCAACTAACTTTGATAAAAGACGTTTTAGAGCCTGTATAAGGAGACAGTTTGGGTCATTAGGTTGTTAGGGTTGCAATATTAATCACTACCAATTATTAATAGTCGACTGATTGTTAAACATTCAAATAACTCTAACGTTTACAGTATATGAATACTTGATTAATCAGTTTATCTTTAATCTTTAACCCATGACAAAACACTGAGAACAATAAAACCTCCTCCTAATTACTATTTCTCAAAGTGTGCCCTATTTTTGTGACGAGACACATAAACTTTAATAAAAACAAGTAACTGATTGTCAAAACGGAGTGACTAACAAGTCTATTCAAATTCAAATTTGACTAATGATGTGACCCAGAACTTTAGTGAGAACACTTTAATGTTCTCAGAGAGACAATCTCATCTCAGCATTAAAGGACAAGCAGAAATAGTCATTTTTAGAAAAACCACCTCTGTGCCATCTGACCAGAACAGGTCAGATGGACCTGAACAGACGGTAGAGATGTTTATGAAGTGTAGGGAATCACAGTTATTCAGAAGACAGAAGTTTAGAAAACTGATGCATGGGGTATATATCATTCAGAAACACTGTGCATTTAGTTTGTTAGGTCACTCTAGCAAACAGGATGGAATGACAGGAAATTGGCAAAGAAATAGACGAGAGGGCGTTTTGGCCCATTAAACCATACATAAAGTGGATGAAACCACACTCAAAAAAGGAAAATTGGGTGGTTG